TTCTTGCCCCTCCAGACTCCTACTCAGGGGGAAGGTTCCTGATCTCTGCAAGGCAGAGCAGGCAGCAGCCTAGAAACGACCACTGCCTTTGAGGTGAATCCGCTGGGAGTTACGTGGGCTTCCAGATGACACTTCCAACGTACAGCAGTTACTCTCAGAGATTGAACGCTGAGCCACTCAATCCCACCCACAGCCCCTAAGCCAGACATCCTAAATCCTCATCACTTCCCCAGGAAAAGGGACCAGACAGGAAGAAAGTTTTTTCTTCTGGGACATAACCCACAAACACCTGTGAGGAGAGCAGGCTTGATTTTCCAGACACCCAAGGCCCTTCCCCTCCGATGCACAGTCCAAGTAGGTACTCAGCACACACTGAGGGCTCCTCACAGAGACACCCACTCTACCCTCAGACTAGGGCCTCTGTTTCTGGAAAAAATCCTCCTGCTTTGAAAGAGACCTCAGCTTCAGCCAGGCCTTGAGATCCTCTCCACACTCCATATTGTCTCCCTGAGTTCTCTGCTGCGATTTTGTTGTGAGTCAGGATGTTCTGTGGTGCATTGTACAGCAGCCGGTCCCTGAGCTCACACTGCTAAGAGCCGCCCCCACAACCATCACTTGCACGGTATTTGCCTTGCCAATTATTAGTACAATGGGCCAATTCTCATCCTGTGTGCTCTTGGGGAAAATATGCAGGCTAGGGATCTGGCCTAGTTTGGAAATGGAACAGCAAAAGTTGCCAATTAACACGAGTTTCTTTTTTGCACCCCCTCAAGGAGTTAATCTCTAAGGAGAATTTATTCATGGCGTGATCCTAGGCCCTTGAGGAATTCCTTAGATACCTCAGATCTCTTGGGTTTGGGATGAATGTTAAAGGTCGCTTGGTCCAACTCTGTATCCAGGGTTTGAATACCTTATGATCATGTCAGCTTCTTCCTGAATAGTTCTATGATTGAGAAACTCAGCCACTACCTATGGCGGTGCATTCTACTTACTTGAAAGGTCTTACTTTTAGATTAGTCAAACCTACCTCTTGGTAGCTTTCCAATTTTTGTCTTAGCTAGTGAGTGAGCCCAGCCAAACCACTCAGCCTCCATTTCCCAGGAAACAGTTGATCACTCAAGGAAATAGTTTTTAGGCCAAAAATAAAGTTTGGAAAGGAATAAAATGAACTGAGCAATAGCAGTGACCACAGTAGGTTGGACTTTTCTGCATAGCCCCAAAAGGTAAAGTTTGGTTACAAATCCAACAGTCTGTAGAAAGTTCACAGGCAGTCTCCAAAAAATCCAGTTGTCAGCAGATTAGAAAACGTATGGAATTCCAGTTGGAGACACTCAAATTTGGCTGAGATTTTCAGGCACTGGGAAGGACTGGTCTCATGTCCAGTGACCTCAGCTTTCCCACAGAACCTTCTCCTCTTGTTGTAAACAAAGCTTCCAGCCCCTCTGCTTCAGACTGACTCAGTCCTACTGATGAAGACTTGATCCAGGCAAGTCTTGGAAATCTTGAACATTCTCGGAAGGGATGTTGACTGAGAAACACAGAAGGATTCTAGGACAGTCCACCCGTATGTGGGAAGAGCAAGGAGAAATATGGGGGAAATTCTCCCTTCCATATGAGGGAGATGGCAAATCAAGACAACAGGTTAAGGAGAACAGATGAAAGGGGGCCAAGTAACCATAGCAACAAGCCCAACGATTCTAAAAGATGGGATCTTTATTTTTCTTTTCACTTGTCACTCTTTTCAGTACTGTCACTCTCTTTCCCTGCTCCTGGCAGGAGACAAGATGTGACTTTTTCACTCCCACCAACAAGCTGCCTGGTTTGGGGGAGTGCAGCTGCTATAGGATGGGAAGAAAATGGGGTCTTCCCAAGGAGAGATCAGAAGACTGACTTTGCCTTTCCCAAGTCACAGCCTATAAACCATGAACACTGCAGGTTATATACAAGACCACCAGGAAGCCTGCTCTTATAAGGACACTCTGGTCCTCAAGTAAAAGCGATTTTGTACCTGCTACTGGATGGCCCATTCTATTTCAACTGAGTGAGTCAGGAAGAGTGAGTAACTGGAAACTGCACAGAAGAGCTCAAGCCTCCTTAGCAAGATCTAAATCTGATGTTATCAAAAGCTTAATGGCACACATAAGAGAGTCACAAAACCCTCTCTAAATGTAAACTCACCTATCTAAGCTAAGACCACACCAATACTAGCCCTTCATCCTACACTATTTAAAATGATGCTAGGTTTAGTCAGTTGGGTTCAGTCAGGCTTTGGTGATGATGGAGCCCAAGTCACCCATTCATTCCTGAAGTCTTTCCTCACCCTGGCTACAATAGAATTGTGTCAGCATAAATAAGGATCAGTGACAATCTATGTCCTTCAGTGGGTGGAATTTCCATGCCATCTAGCTGTCCTCTTTGTATGGAATATGTCACATGTATACACATATGTGTGCAAGCACACAACCATCAGCCTGGGCCAAAGACTCCTTCAGAGGTAAGGGATGCTGTTCCCCTCCAGGAACAATCAATTGTTCTGTCATTGGACCTGTCTCATTCAGCAGTTGTATAGAATATGCTTCTTTGGCCCACTTCCATATGAAGATCAGCCTTACTTCTTTCTCAGATATACTGTACAAGAAATGAAGATTCCATCTTCGACAGCAAGACAGGCAGATACCTTCACAGGGAATTTTGAAGACAATAACAGAAAAAGATGTCCACCACTCCACTATCTTTGAAAGCCATCTACAACCAAGGTTGCCTTGGGGAAAACTATGAAGAAGAAAATAGCTTTGGTGACCAAAGAGGAAAGGTGTGCAGCTACTGAAAAAGACTGATTATTGCTTCTCAGCCTTTTGGCTAAGATCAAGTGCTAAAAAAAGATGATCATCTTTGGAAGTCAGTAGCTTCTAGGTCTTCTTGTCTACCACCTTTCCCATCCACTCTATCTGAACATTACTATCAACCACTCTTTGCTGGACTTGAGCAGATGATACATTAAGATGCTTCCTACCCCATCCCTGCCCCTGTTCTAATAGGAGACTTTCATAGGAACTCCAAGTCTCCAAGGACTTTAAATTACTCTCCTCCTCAGAATTACATACCTCCTCGAAAACAAACAGGGAGATATTTTGGGTGAGGTGGGAATTTACTTATGCAGACAACACTTGAACCAAGTTCTAAACTCATTTTTACATATTTCTCCTATAAGACCACTCTATCAGAACAGGAGAAATTTCACCTCTCTGAATCCTTTGAATAATCATTTCCTCTGCTTTCAAAGCTAGGCTATACCTTGCCAAGTATAACCTATATTCAAGAGCTATCTGCCTTAGCAATACAGGAAACTGCCAAGGAGGTGAGCCTTAGATAATCCTTTAGCTCTGCTGCTTCTGGGGTGGAAGACCTGCTGCTATTTGCCAGCTGTATTCCCTAAGCTCACCCTGCTGAATCCTGTACAATGCACCAAGTAGAACAAGTACAAAGGCCACTGACTTTGTAAATAAATTCCTTTCTATGTGCCCAGATTCTAACAGATGTCTAAGAGGTTCTAAGGTCACACAGTCCACCACTGTGAGGCTCACCTATATACCCCACTAAAGAGCAACACACAGAGTGCAAAAGCCATACATCCCATCTAGTGCCACCTATTAGCCAACAATGATGGATATCTGTGCCATGTGAGACGTGCATTTGGATTTCACCTAATGAGACATTTGTTGTACCTGAACAAGCAATAAACATTAACAAAGGTGTTGAGGCTTACATGACATCTGGAAATACGTATTCTTCCAAGACGTAAACATTTCCTTTGCCTATGTCAAGGATTTGGTTGAGCAGTGCCTCCCTCTTTGTGACCCAGGCCCACAGTTCAGTTGGTTGTTCTCACCTCTTGAGACGGTATTATCCTCATTCACCCACTTTGGAATCCCACTGGACATGACAGAACTCAGGGATGATCGAACAGACCAGTAGCCTTCCTCAGGTTCTGTAGGCTGAGTTCTGTTCTTTCTTATTTTCCAAACTTCTAGGAAGTAAACATCTTGCTCTGTGACTCTTTTCCTTCAAAGCTGATACAAGATCAATTACATAGGCAACAGAGATTTCTAAATTCAGCCACCGAGATCTGTGTCTGCCTACAGTGTTTAGCAGCAACCTCCTCCAGCAGAAAAAAATGACACTAATTAAGTATAATTATTAGGACTTAATTGAGCCATTTTTCTCTCTCATTGCCTCCCTACTAATCCAAGCCCCCCAGTTTTCCCCCCTCAAACAGGATTTAGAGCATCAAGCTAAAGGTGCATATCACTTGATCTTTATTATGTGTATAATAACTGTCTTGTTAAATTGAAACCAAATGCACATCCAGAGGAAAGTTCCTTGTAAGTGCCAGCCCTCAGAAAAACGCTTGGAAACATAAACAATGCACAGGGCTATTGTGCGGCTGAGCAACAGCAGGGATGAGGGGCAGACTCTGAATCAAAAAGGAAGGGACACAGTTTTCTGAAAGAATAGGTGAGCTCAAGGTTCAGATCGTGATAGAAGCTGCCCTGAGTTTCTTACAGCATCTCTCACCCTAGAAAAGGCATCGAAGAGAGGAGAGATGGAATTATAAATGCAACACAACCCAGAATGCTTAGAAAATTATTATATACACATGTACATTTTTTCCTGGGGAATGTTTAACTCTCAGCCAATGAGCGCAAAGCCTTTTCAACTATTCTGAATGTTAAAGAGGGTGAGGGGTTGAGTGTATGTCTGTAAACATGCTATTGGCTGGATGGGTTTTAGCCTCTTAACTCACTTTATTCTTTCCCCCACCCCCTCCTTTCCCTCCTCTTCCTAGGACAAGACGAGTGCTCTGAGCCTCAGCAATGTGGCAGGCGTGTTCTACATCCTGATCGGAGGACTTGGACTAGCTATGCTGGTTGCCTTAATCGAGTTCTGCTACAAATCCCGTAGTGAATCCAAGCGGATGAAGGTGGCATCGTCTTCCCAGGCCTTTTTTCTAACCTGTTCTGTGATACAGCTGGGGTTCCTGAGAACCTCTTGGCTAGAAAGGGTGGGCAGTGGTTGAAGCGAGGTCAAGACAGGGAGCTGAAAGCTGCTAGAAAGAAAATGAGAGGGACAGAGTCAGTCATGAGAAAGGAAGGGAGATGGGGTATGTTGGGAAAACACAGGGCTCAGGGTAACATCTGCATCAGATGAGGTTGGTGAGGGGGCTAGGGATTTAGCTCAACAGCACAGCACTTGCCTGGCAAACACAAGGTCATAAGTTCAATTCCCCGTACCAAAAAAAAAAAAAACCACATGAGGTTGGTGAGATTAAAGGTTAAAGATTGAGTGGACAATCAGCACAACAAGGCAAGAATGATTACTACAAATGCTGACCTATAATCCCAGCATATCGGGAGGCAGAGGCAGGATTGCAAATTCAAGGCCAGCCTGGGCAATTTAGCAAGACTCAGACAATGAAAAAAAAAAGACAAAGCCACTGATCTTTCTGAAGTGTGTCAAAGGGAGTATATCTCCCAAAATAGGAAAGGGTATGTTGCCTCTCTCCTCGGTACTGATCTTACCATGCTCAGTGTATCGAGCATTTTCTTAACCTCCAAATTGTGAGTTAGACATTGGCAAAAAAGGAGCACGCATAGAGAACAGTAAGCAGGTTAGTTAGGTGGCTCCAGACCACACCAAGCGTAAGTGACAGCAAGTGGAGGAGGGAACGACTATGAGGCATTTAAGGGCTGTCAACAAAAATACGAGAACTTTCCAGGTTGGGGAAGAAAGATTAGTTTTATGGAGTCCCAAGTATACAACAAAATTAATAACAGCAAGTAATAGACAATAGTAATAGACAATAGATATTAACACAACGTGCAAAATCCACTTTTCCTATAGAGCTAACCAAAGGTGGCTTGAACTATAAGTAGCAAGCTCCCAATCTCTGGAGGCATAGAAGTACATGGTAAATAATTCTTGGGAAGGATATCAATTAAAGCATCCAGAGGGAATTTGGATTAAGTAATCTTCAAGTTTGGATTAAGTAATCCTCTCAGTCATTTAGCCTCAGTAAAAAAAAAATACTTATGGAAAGTCACAAGGTGAACATCATGGTCAAGGTATTATGAGGAAGCACAGAAGAATGAGGGGTTATCTGTGACCTTGGACATCTTTAAACTTCAACAAAGACTGAGTCTCCAAAAATTACTCATTGAGGCCCCCTGTGGCTAGACAGGAAGGCCCATAGGAATTTAGAGAAACAAGAAGCAGTGGAAATTAAAAGCACAAGTGGGATTGAGACCAAGGAGGGAAAGAAAGTGTAGTCACTCAAGGCCACATGCCAAGGATGTCTTATTGATCTGGACTATTATGCTGAATTGACTAGACTAGCAAGACGTGGTAGGATTTGCTTCCCTCAGGTGGGCCCAAAGAATCCTACACTTCAACATATAATTGCTTCCAAGTACAGCATCCATACTGCAGAATCGCAAACACAGCCTCTTGTCAGCCCTCTGCGCCTTGGGCATCTGTCCTACACAGACACCCAGGATCACCCTCGTAGAAGTCATCTTTGGGCATCCTCTGTTTGCAAACTCTGTAGTCAGTTCTGTAACCAAGGGAAAAGGGGGCAGAAAAAAAGAGACCTAATGTCCTGGTGTACAGCATTTCCATGTTATGACACCAGCTGATCTGTCCTGACCCACCCACCCACCGCCAGAAATCTGCTTTCTTCACCTCCTGCATGTTCCAGCTATGCACTACCTGATTCTCTCGTATGTGCCTTTATGCAAGCAGATTCCACATCCTGTCTCCTATCCATAGGGCCCATTTAAAAGGTAACTTCCCTAAGATGTAATAACAAGGAACAATTATAGTGCAAAAACATACTGGTATTTTGTCAGAAAACCTAAGAACATCTTAGTCCTACATGTGACCAACTCTCCTACCTCTGGTCTTCTCGAAAAAGACAAATCATAGCAGAGTCATTGGATTCAAACCCTAACTCCAGTGTAGAACTCCAAAGAACTTGGCTAGACAAAGCAAGGGCTTCTAAAACCTAAACAAAGCCTTCTTTGCCTATTCCATCTAAAATATAAGCCTAAAGATTCTCCTGTCTTACCCTCCAAGGGAGGAACACTGCTCCAGGGCAAAGAAGGGGCCAGAATGAGACCTAGATGAGCTACAACTTTGACGACCCCCACAAAAACCTTCCCTGGGACTCAAACCAGAGTCCAAATCATGGGTGCCCCCTCCCGTTGTTCCCCAGTACACAGTGCAGCCTAGTGGTCCAAGAAACAAGCTCGCAAGGCTGAATGTCAATCCCATCTCTTCCATTTCTTAACTCTGTTATCTTGAAAAGTTTTAGTAACTCTCTGATCCTCATTTTCTAAAATAAAATAGGGGCAGTGGTGGGAAATAATAATTGCTATGAAGATTAGATGAAACAATGGATATAAAGAGCTTGGCCAAATGCCTACGCCACAGTAGGTCCTAAAGAAATAAAAATAATGATAACTAGCATTTATGATAATAATTACTATTAGAGGACAGCTGCATCCTCCTTGAAACTTTCCCTTTATTGACCCTAATTTCATGTGTTAGGGGTTTTTTCTGAACTATGCAGACTATAACTGTCACAAATTGTGTCTGATTTCTTTTGGGTCATCCCACACAACTAGGGTAAATATTAGTGCAATTCATGTGGAATTGTTTCCAGAGGAGAAAAACCCTCTTAAATGAAGAGAAAAAGCAAGCAACCTAACCAAATTGCTCTTAGGTTAAGCAAGTACTATTACCCAAACCACCCAGCTGAGGGAGTATAAACAAGTTCCTCCAAGATAGTTTTGGCCCCATCTTTTGAGCTCATAAAATGTGATGAGATCAGGCATCTACTGGGCAGGGAACCTCCTGGATGCCCATTCCTTCCTCTGGGATTATTGTGACTCCCACTAACCAGTGCCGGGTGGCTGGGACCAGGGTGACTAAAGACTAGCAACTTCTTAAAACTGGGATAGTGTGGACCTTCACTACTGAAGTCACAGCATTCAAGTTAAGATTAGAGTCCTTAGAAGAGGCCACTAGTCATAGCATAGCTTCTTGGAGATAGTCTCACCCTTTCCTTTGTAATGGAGATGTTAAATTTCTCAGAAAGCATCAGGTCTCTTGAAATCATTAATTCAAGACCTTCTACCACAATCTTCTATAATTAATTCCGTTGACTGGCATGACTGCTGCACAACTCACTAAAGCTCCTAATAGAATTTTTCTATCTTCCAACAGCAGAAAAGGTATTTTCTTTATTAATCAAGCCAGCCCTTAATTTCTGAAGCTCCATCAATTGCTCTCTTATCCAAAAGAGATAAGTAGAATGCATTCCACTTGTTTCTCCAACTTTCGAGCTTTGCATTTCTCTCTATTATTCTGTGCTTTGCCTTCTCTAAAAGCAATTAACTCTTCTCAGATGTGCAGCCCCAATATCGCACGGAGATGTGGATTGATGGTGACAAGCACCTTTGGCAAAGAATCTCTCCTCTTCCCTCTCCTTGATCACAGTATTTGGCCAACTTTTCAGGTCTTGAGTCCCTAAACTACTTCAGACTCAGGCTCCCAGATCTCAACAGTGTTTAAAGAGCCCTTTCCTCTTCAAGCAGATGAGGAAAAGAAGAAAGCAAAAGTATGCATAAGGGAGAAAGGCAGACGAGAGGAAGGAAAGAAATAGAAACAGGAACATTTTTAGTAACTTTCAGTTTAAAGTGCTTTCTATTCATTTTTATTAATCATCTAATGTATTATTTGCAAGTCTAAGGCTGAGGAAACATATCACAGGAGCTATGTAGCTTGTTCTAGCAAGGTCACACAAGCTAGGAGCTGAAACCACAGGAATTAGACATTCAGCATGGCCTCCACAAAGCCCGGTAGCCAAGCCACTCCTCCTAAATCTCTTTCTTGCTCCAACCACATGGCAGGTGATCATTTTTGAGCACTTGCCATGTATCGCTCAAGTCCTAGCCCCAGTGAGAGTCACAAAGACAAATAAAATGCATCCCTGTCTTTAGATTTTCCTGATCTGGTTGTTGAGGTGAACTTCTGTGCATACCATAGTCTCTTGCTTTGCATCCTTGAGTTCTCCTATTGATATGTGGATGAGCAGAACACACAGATGTCATGGGGTGGGGGAGAAGACACCCCACAAAACTATACCAAGCACCACTGTATGCTCAGCAATGGAGATGAGGGCACAGCAGACACAGCTTCTCTTCTCAGTAAGCTGACAGCTTGATGGGGAAAACAGAAAATAAGCAAACACTTACCTGCTCAGTGAGTATTGTGGAGATAATGCCCAGTGCTACCAATTAAAATGCAGAGTCCTGTGTTGAGGGCCAGATGTGAGTAGAGCCGTCAGATTAGCATCCCTAAGAAGGTAATGGTTAACAGACTTAAAGCCTGAAAGGAATTAACCTGGAGAAGACAGTTGCCAGCAAAGGATGCACAAGAGTCAGAGACCCAAACACTAGAACTCTTGTCAAGAAACGGGAAGCAAGCCAGAGACTAGGACGCAGACAGACAGACTGGGGAAGATAGGTAGCATGTGAGAGCTGGGGATGCGGAGAGGGGCTTTGAGCAGACCACAGCACTTGAGCATACTTTCATTTGCCATATGGTACCAAACATATATAACCTAGGACCCATTCTGAATGCAGTGAAGTCTCAGATCCCCTGCATTCCTCCTCTTCCAAAAAAGTGGAACAAAATATCTTTTTTTTAGCTGAAATTAAGGATACCCAGGGTCTTTATTATTAACCAGCTTACTCCTAAAGGGAAATAATCCTCAGCCTCTCCCACTCCCTCGAGAGCCACCGACCTTTCACAATTATATGTGGCCACACTAACATAAGGCGAGCTTAAGCAACAGTAATTGGAGGCTTGCACATTTTCCTGGGATTAATGAGCAGCTGAGAGACTTGACAAGAGAGGGGTAACATCCCCCACAAGAGGTGGTCACTCGTTCTCTGCAGGGGTGCCTGGATGAGGTGCCTGGATGAGGTCCCTGGATGAGGTCATTGCTCAGGTTTGAACTTTTATTAGGCTATCCTATGACATGCAGAGACTGGAAAGTTTTCTTAGCAAAACAAGAAGTTAAGATGTAATCGCTGTTAGAGAAATGAGTCTCTGAAGAGCCAATTTGAGGGGTTTTAAAGTTGGACTTTTCACAAACCCTTTTTTATCAGTTTCAAAACAGTAACGATACAGATGAACTCTAAGATTGGCTGGCATGCCAAGAAGGGACAAGGAAGAAACTTATTTCTCACAGGCAAGGGCAGGAATTATGTCATCGAATGAAAGCTTATCTGTAGGGGATAAGAAGGACCTCATTTAGAAGTTCATCTACTGTGTCAATAGGTCAGACGACTGTTACCTTAAACAAGTCAGTTATATTCATTAGTCAATTTCTCTGTAAAGTGAATGGGAGAAGTTATGGGAGCAGAGGGGAAACAACCTCTCCTGCATTTCAGAACCTCCTGAGAAGCTTTCAAAACCTCAGATACCCAAGCCACACACCATAGCTATTAAGTCGGTATGGGAAGGAGTAGGAGTCACAAAATTTTGACTCTATCTCTTTTCCTGAGATTCCATAATCATATTAGAAAGGAATGCAGTAAGAAGCCAGTACCCACCTATAATAGAAGAATGAAGTCATGGACCTCTAAGCAGCTTCCAGTTTCCTTGAGAATCAGTTCTAGTGGCATAACTGCGGTGGGTTTTAGCTACATACCCAGTGAAGTTATTTAAGACTTTGCTAAGCACCCAAGGTGACTGTGCCATTCATCTTATCCTTTTATCCTTTAAGGTAAATCCATGATATCCCACCAGTTTCAGTGAAATACTATAGGAGTCTGTGAGCATTTGGGGGACAAAGTCCAAGGTGATATTTGTAACTTTAAGTTTTTACTTTAATTAATGGAATGTAAAAAAGAAAAATCATGGATAGATACTCCAAGCCAAACTATAGAAAGCTCCATATCTCTCACCCATACAAATAAAATGTTATGTTCATTTCAACTTTATTTTTAAGTGAGAATAAGTAACCACTAATGCTTCCTGTTTTCATTCACATTTTCCCCATGTAGCATCACACTGGTATTTATTTGGCCTTTGACTTAAGAGAATGCAGTCCAGGTCACACCTCCTCCTCAGTGGAGAGCTACCAAGGAAAAATGTAAATAAATCAAGTCTCAAGGTTTGAGGAGACAGAACCAGTGTGGGCAGAGTATCGTATGGGGTAAATCTGTCTGAATCATGGATTTTAAAAAAGAAAGAACATTTTCAAACATCGTCAGGATTTCCAGCAATAAAAAGATAGCAGGAAAAAAATTAGGTCAAAACTTCCCCGTTTATCTTCGTCTGGCCACAGAAGGTTGACTGGCTTCTCTGGATGACAAGAATCATGGAAATATGCAAAGGAGAACATGCCCCAGGCGTTTTGCATATTCTCTTAGGTTCCTGACTTTTTCTTAGACAAATTCAAGAGTATATTAAGTATTGAACTGTAGGCCAGTCACCTTGGGGACAGCCAAGGATGGAGAAGACTTGGCCCTTGCCCTCTGCCAGACAGTTAGCTCTCAAAGAAGACAGAACTTACATAGCTGAAGCAGGCCCAGTACAAGAGAATGTGAAATATGTGAGCATTTATGAGAGGGGCATCTGTGCAGTGGGCTGGTATAGTCTAGGAAAACTGCAAGAAAGAGGCAAGGACAGAATAACCCTTGAGGAATGGGTCTGGTCTGTTTTAGAGAAGAAAACTTCTCAATCCATACAGACTTCTCCTTTGCGTTGATTTGTACCAAGAAGCCAAACCCTGCCTCAAAAACTGTTTGTCTCTTTGTGGAGAGTGAGAGTTAGGAAAACATTGGATTTCATGTCATAAATTTTCTTTCTCCAAAGGAACTCTGAACAGAACCCTTCCTCTTGTCTAATAGGATATGCTTCTAGACCTACTTGGTGGTCTTGAATATTCCACTTAACTCATGTGATTCTATGGTGATCCTTGGAATCCTCTTCAAATGTAGGAACTCAAACGTTCTAGAAATCACAAAGTTGTGGCATTGATCTGATGTGCCATTCTAAAGCTGTAGGTAATACATGCTGGAGGCGAATACATCCAGATAATAACCTTGCAAATGCATTTTCCTATTCTTTATCACATGCCCCTTTGTAATTACATTTTGAATATTGTCCTAAGACTTGTCTTAGCACCTGTTAAGTCAAGTTCCGCATGCCCTTGGCACATACTACCAAAGGTAGAATGGCATTTCCCTAAGGAATATTGGAGGGTTTTTTTTTTTTAACTTGAGCCTAACAATAACACATTCTACGTTTTTTTTTAATATTTCAAAGCAGTTTTCAGGCATTGACTTGAAAAATTAGTCTGAAGATAGCCAGAAAATCAAGATACCCAGATAACAACTGACAGATAAATTGCAGTCAAAACCAAAACCATAACTCAGATTTCCTAAACTCTGCTCCCAGGAGCTTTTCTAACTTCCTTGTACTGCTTTATTTATCATCATTAATAATAGCAAAGAAGCACAGAGTATAAGAACAAGAAAGGACCTTAGTGCTTACCCAGTCCTGGGCACATATTAAACTTTAAACCCAATGCCCAGCGAGGGGATAAGGCCTGTCCAGAGTCAACTCAAGAATTCTGCACCTTCATGGGAAGTCAAGACTAGCATTTTAGAATAGGAAAGGGGTTGCACAGAGAGAAGAGCTTTTATATTTTAAGTCCACTCTTGACCCATTCCCCTGTCATTCAATGCCAAGGACCTGGGGAAGAACCCCCTGTCCTCCTGAAAAGGGTTTCTGTTTGATCCCACAGCAATCCATCAACGAAGCCATACGGACATCGACCCTCCCCCGAAACAGCGGAGCAGCAGCCAGTGGCAGCGGCAGTGGAGAGAATGGCCGGGTAGTCACGCATGACTTCCCCAAGTCCATGCAGTCCATTCCCTGCATGAGCCACAGTTCAGGGATGCCCTTGGGAGCCACGGGATTATAACTGGAGCAGACGGAAAACCCGCGGGGAGCAGGCTCAGGCTCCCCCAGCCCCACCCCAAACCCTTCAGTGCCAAAAACAACGAAGTGAGACGCCACCACCACCAACCACCACAACCACAAGGAGGACAATTCAACAGATTTTCCTGGAGAATTAAAAAAAAAAAAAAAAAAAACCACTTTCCTGTCCCTTTTCTTTTTTTGATGTTCTTTCACCCCTCTATGTTTGCTAAGCGAGGATGATCAATAACAATGTACTACAATAAGAGGACAGTAAACCTGTCTAATGAAGGCTGTGTCTGAAAATGGAGTCACTAGAACACTAATGAAGAAACCGGACCTTTTTCTTTTAATTCAGTTGTTAATGTGTCTTAGTGTGTGCAATTTTTTTCATACTAATATCCATGGTTTGCAGGTTCTGTTAGGCCCCTTGCTTCTCCTTCCTTATCCTTCCCAACTCCCACCCGCCCCTCTTCAGTTTTCAGATTGAAGATTCAAGATTCATTCCACCTTGCAAGCAAGAAAAGGAAAATGGCAACCTTTAAAACTAATTCACCCTGGGGCTGTCCGTGTTGCCCTCCACTCCTTGGCCCCAAACCTTGGATGGAGACAGACACTGTTGGAGAATTGGGCTGCTTTTCCCGGATGGATCACTGCTTAAGCATCGATTTAGTGAAGAACCCACTTGAAAAGCGACTCAGAACAGGGGTGGTGGAGAAAGTAAGGGCACATAGGTGGTCAGAGGAGGACTCTTGAAGTTATTGCTGCTCAGAATAAGCTTCCTCTGATGTGCAAGAGATACCCCATAGGCCAGAGAGGGTATGGTGTATTTCTTCACAGTCAACCTCAGCCCTGAGAAGTGTATTCTGCTATGTTCATGCTCAAAGGCGCTGTGGCGGCTAAAAGTCAGTTGGTCTCCTGAAGCAAGCAGAGGCTCGGGAAGAGCTGACAGCCAGGGAGATATCACTCCTGATTCTTGATTTTCCTTTGCTTGACAATGAGCAGGAACCCCCTTGTGAAGTAGACTCTCTTTCTCTGTGGAGCCTCTAATGTAAGAGAAATGCTATGCAAGCAAACTGTGAAAGAAAGGCAATGGAAGAATTGTGGAAGAGGATGCCTCATCAAAGCCTAAAAGCAATACAGCTTTCCATGATGTGCCCTGTCCTAGGTTTGGGAGCCCAAATATGAAGTTTTGGGTTGTGCTGATGCAGAGAACTTGGGTTGTTATGTGAACACGGAGTACTGTTGTACCATGTGGTCAGCTAATGTTCTGTCATCTTTGGGAACAAAGATGCCCAAGGCTGAATTATTTGAAAAGGGATAGGGAAATGGATTGAATTGATAAGGACACTTGGAGACTCTGATGTCCTTGACCACAACCTCTAACCCGCAGAGGCTGTTCTTCCTCTGGCTAAGATAGAATGAGGACATTGCCTTTCGGCGATCAGAAGGAACGCACCTGTGACTGCAAGTACAAAGCTAAAGTACAGCAAGACTAGAGAAGTGACCAGGTTCATGGAGAAAAGCCCAGGCTGAAACTTTGATTGGAAGTGGGAGTCCCTGGCACAGAGCTTTCTCGGAGACCCCAACTCTCATTCTTGGTGCAATTGGCTTCCAGCTCTCCAGCAGCCACTCTCCTAGGTGCATGATTTAGTGCGTGCCATGTGTCATTAGCTTTTATTCATAACCATAATCTGGCTTGTTCCCTGACCACCTCTATCCAATCTTCTCTGCTAGAGATTACCATTAGCGAGTGGAGAGCAAAATGTTTTGGAGTCTACCTAGAGTTAGATGCAGTATGATTGGCTTCCTCTGTGGATTCTTTGAGTGAATACCCACCATCTCCATGTCTCTCCTTTCCTCCTTTCATCAACCACAGCAAAGGATCATTTTACAACCAACTCTTCACCCTTACAACCAAAATGTTGTTCAGTTTTGTACATGTTGATGTGGGCGTGGTACATGAAGCAGCACCCTCAAGATGGATTATCACTTTTTGTTACTGCCAACTAGTGTCTTCCCAACCCTCTACTCTCACACCAGACTTTTCTCAGCCCTTAGCCTACCAGTGTAGAACCTAACATGACCCACCATTAGGGAGTCTGCATTTTGGAAGAGTTGGAAATAACCTCTACCATCAACATGCATCAAAGACCTTTTGCCTTTGGCCTGGTAAGAGGCTCTCCAGTGCTGAGCCTACCAGCAACATGATCTGATAGAGAGAGACTCTGCTGTGTTAGAAATGAGGGTCTATGCTATTTGGGGGTCCAAGACTCTGGCAGAAGATACTTTTCATCAATGGATGGGTGAAGGGAAAACAAAAGCAAGAAAAAAGTTAACTTGTATTATGTATTTTTACTACACTTTTCTTAAAAATAGAGCAATGGGAAAACTCTGAAAGAGATTGACATTTTTCTCAACAGGAATCCATACTTAACAGTTCTGGCTTTCATTAAATTTTGCTCTTTGGTACCTGGGCCTTTTATTTAACACCTATATTTGTTTTAACTCCCTTGGCAGAAGTGTGAAAGGATTCTTGCTTGATCAAACACTAAATATTTTTTGGTTCCTGTTTTTCTTTCAAATAGCCAGGGTTTTTTTTTTCTTTTGGTATTTGCATAAAATGAAAATATCACCGAGAATTAAATCACTGTGGATCCATTATCTACTTTCCATTTTTGTTCATTCCATTTTTGTGCCATTTCTGAAGCCAGGGCTCTAGAGATTGCTATTTTCTTATCGCTGAGCTTAAGACTGACCATAATGGTGACCACTGTTCCAAACTCACAAACAGCTCTCAAGTCGTTATGAGTGGACTGGAACACGATGAATTATTCATCTAGATGGGATATTTTAGAAGGCAAAGAATGGTATTTAGCATTTGCAGCCCACAGTCAGTCTCATAAATAGCTGGATTTGGTATGTGGCCCTCTCAGTATCTCTAGGAAACTGGATGGTTCACAGGGAATGTCTCCCGGATAGTTCCAAGCTGGGTCCAGCGATATCTGTGATATGCACAGTCACAGCAAGAAACAAACCTAGACCATTCTTATAAAAATATAATCTTGGCCCTCAAACCGTAAGACCCTTGTTCTTGTCTAAACCTTCCCTTTCCCTCAAGTTAGGTGGGCTTTCTCTAAAAGACTTTGATTTTGTTGACACTTAGATACTTATGATAAAGAACAACATCCACTATTTCCCCATAAGGGAAATACTTTTGGCACATATTTTTGGTCAGCTTTCCTATCACTGGGACACAATATCTGATACACAATTTAAAGGAGAGTTTTCACTTGGCTCACAGTTCAGGGGGCTCAGTCTGTGATGTTTTGCTGGCTCCGAAGCAGAAATATTATGACAGAAGCACATGGCACATCAAAGTTGTTCAGTTGAAGACATGGGGAGAAATAGATAGCGACCTATTGGTATTCAAGGTCAGGACCCTGTGACCAATCCAGACATACCCAGGGAGTGTGCTTTTCTATTTTACAAACCATTTCTTAACCCAATAAAGTTGACAAATTTGATTAATGGTCACATATATTAGCGAGGATCAAAAAATCCAACTAAAGGAGGTTCTAAAGAGTAGCAACTGCTGTGATAGAAAAGGGATAGGAGAAAAGGGAAAAATTAGCAAACTTGTGCAAAGTTCTAGTCATTATTTACACCTACCTGGCACCCTCTAGATGTCCAGGGTAAACAAGTACTTAATTTTAACATACAGGCAGAGAAAATGGTCTCTGTTGCATTATTGTCAAGTAGTTTAGACAGAGATCACAATGCTTACACTGGCACAGCTGCCCCAGTATTGAGCACTGACTATGTAAACACATTTCATTCTTTCCACATCATGAAACTGACCCTCAGAGTAGAGCCTTACAGATGAGGCATGTGAGATTTCACCAAAGTACATAGCTTGCTCACAGTTGCATGACAGAGCCACGTTCTGAATTATGTCTGCCTAAATCCACAGCCTTTACATCCCTAACTGCCCATCTCACTGTTAACCAGGTTATGGTGAGTGATTGTCAGGAAAGTAGTTCTCTACCTGCCTGTCAGACCAAAGTAACTGAAAATAGAAAGGTTAAAGTTACGCCTTTGATTCCTTGTGGAAAACCCATTTATCCTTATCCAGACAGGGTTGTAAAAAAAAAACTTTTAAAACAGAGATCAGCCAGCAGATTAAAGAAGGAGTCAAAAACCAGGCCCCATGAAGAAGGAGTTCAGCAAGAGTCCTCAGGTCCATCCATCATGAGGGAAAGGAGGTATCATTTTCTGTGTGAGAAAGTCTAAGATCAGTTCTGTGAGTTACAGAGCAATGGACTTAGGTTCAACTAAAGGCCAAAGAAACCCCTTATTAAAATTCGGCTACTCCTGGAGTTAGAACAAGTCTTTGTCAAAGAGATGCTGCAGTTGTGCAAGTTGAAATAAATATTCTGTGATTGTCCATTCCGTCCAGATTCCTAGAATCCACAAGACCATTAGCTTGATGTCCTCTGTGTTCCAAGCAGATGGAAATAGGGGCTAAAGAATTCAAAGTCATCCAGGGAAGGTTTCCTGCATCTGTTATACACCCATTCTTCTGGTTATTTGGTCAGTAACACCCTGATAGACACTAAAATGGGATTAGGAAGACCCTACAGAAGAGGTCTTGACTATCCTTCATGGAAGTAACATCAGAATGGTCTTATCTTAAATAATAGATAAGACGATGAGTTTGTACCTTACCAAATACATATGTGCTCTATAGGAAAGAATTTCTATGAGGGAAAGGGCTCTGTCCACAGCCTACTTTACAGAGAAGTTGAGATTTTGCATAAGTTTCTTCCTCAAAGACACATGATAGGCAGAGAAACTACAATGGAAATAACTAGGGTGTCTATTCCTGGCTTGTCGCCAAGCTCTGCCTTTCAAGACATACTACAAAAACAAATGTACCATCCTGTGCCTCATTCCACTCATTCAAGACATGGGATATCTTGTTTCAGATAGGTAGTGATTCTCATTCACATGCTAGAATCACCTAGGGCAATTCTAAAGTCACTAGTGTCCAAGATGCATCTCTAGATCTAGCTGGTCTGAAATGACATACAAGCAATAATAATAATATTGTTGTTGTTGTTGTGCTTTGGGTTCTTTTGTTCCAAACTCCCATCTGACTAGAACGTGTGACCAGGGTGGAACTAAAATTGGATTTTCAAAGCATTCATGAAAACTTTGAAAATTACATACTGCTACATGAGCAATATCTGTTCACAACCAGACAAACACAAAACAGTTTTCCGGAGATCAGTCCACTGTTTGGTATGCTTTTCCCCATCCCTTTCTGCTGTGCATATCCCACATTATAAGGCTGTCCACAGAACAAGGGAACTGGGTTCCTTCTTTTTAGTATGATTTATTTATTTATATCAGTACATGTTTGCAGTATGCAATGATTATCTTCCTTTCAGGGACTTGGCATATGTACATAACACACCTTAAATCAAGATCAAGGAATGGCAGCTGGCCAGTACTAGACCTCTGAAGAATATCTCATGAGGCCTATCCTGAATTCCCAATAAGTAAGAATCTGGGATGGACAGGGAAACACAGGATAGCAAATATACGTGGCCTTTGCTGTGGGTTAGCTCAGTGATAGACTGCTTGCCTAGCATGCACCAAAGCCTGAGTTCCATTCCCAGCACCAAAAACAAATAAAACTTCCTGGTACAAAAGGAGAAAAAATTACATACATCTGCCACAAGAAGAAGTCTCTGACTTAAGCTCTAAATGCTCCTTCACCTTTAGGCATGTTCATAAGCGCGTAACATTCTACTAGGAAAAAGGAGAGACACCAGACCGTGGAGGTAAGATAATCATCGGAGAGTGGTCTCCTCAGGAGAAGAAGAAAACAACTCTGTCAAATGAGTCAGACTTGGACACAGCCAGTTATTTTCCAAGCTGGAAAACTATGTGGCTGATTCCATTATAGACACCAAACCCACTTGCACCACTTGAATTTTTAACGTAGTTCACTGGAAGGCACTGTCCATCAGCCTCATCTTGTGGTGACAGCTCTAACCACTCCTCCTCAGTACTGCCTTTGCCACTCTTATAGAGCACTAAGGAACAGGAGCCAGCATTTGCTCCATGCTAACTGCATAGTAGGTACGATGCTAGAGTTTCAAATGCGTCGCAGTTAGTCCTCAGAACAAACATGCAGGGTGGCGATTGCAACCCTGCGATGGTGAGAGTGTTACCCTCATAAGAGGAAATGCAGGCTCAGAACTCAAGGTCATGTGGCCGATGAATAGCTTGGCCTAAATTCTAATTCATTCTGCCTTTCCACTTTGAGTGTCACCATGCAAAAAGAAAGACAAAAGAAGAGCACCAGAGTGAGATTTAAAGGATACGATGTCTGTTACCTGCATTACTACCAATTGCTGTGCAACGCTGGACAACTCACTTGACCACTCTAGGCCTCGATGTCCTCATTTGTGAAATAAGGGAATGAGGATACACGGAGCAATTTCTGAGGTCCTCTCAGTTGTAGCTCTGCATCACTGGTTCTCAGTCAGAGGCGCTTTAATCCCAAGAAGGCATTTGGTAATACATTTTGGGTTTTCACAGCTAGGGTAACAGGTGCTACTGGAAGTTAGTGGGCAGAGATCAAGGGTGCTGCTGACCATATTCCAGTGCACAAACAAGCCCCCCTACAACAAAGAATGACCCTGCCCATGATGTCAATAGTGCCAAGGTTGAGAAACTAACATATAATTATAGCATCCTGACAGCACGTTGGGTGTGAATCATTACGAAACAAAGCTGAATAGAAAAGAGACAGGGACCCGACAGCCACTGAACTGTCAGAGAGAATGAACAGTTACATGAATTTAGGCAAACAAGGAGTTGAGTTTAAGGAAGTGAGCTGCGGTGAGAAGGGTTTATCCCATAGCATCAACTAGACAGCCCAGAGAAGGCAAGGCTTGGTATTTAACCAGGCAAATAAAGCTGACAGTGCAGCTTAGGAGACAGAAGGAGGCTCCTCCTACAGATGCAACTTATTTTTGGCCCAGTCTCCTTGCTTTGTTTTTGGCAGGTAACTCTGCACCCAAAACCAGTTTACAGACCTACTGGTAACCCCCACCTTCCTCAAAAAGACTAGATAAGTGTCATTTTTACCCCAGAATAAGATAACCAGCCTTCTAGCACACACACCCATCTATGTCTGCAGGTAGATGTTATAAAAAATGAACGACAAACAAATGATAGTCTTGTCTCTCAGACAGTTGACAGGAAATAAGACACAAAACATCATTAAATACAACATAAATTCAAAGGCAGTTAATGCAAGGTGGGAAAAAAGGCAAAGTGTTTGGGTCATCTTCCACATACCTACCATCACTGTGTATCCATAAAAGGGACTCTAACCACAGGACAATCCATAACTCTCTCCTTGATCACTGTTTTCCACCTACTCTGGCTTCCAGGCCATTCCTCAACCATGCCACAGCTAGTCCCACTTCAGCCCTTATGCTTGCTATCTTAGCATGAAACCTTTTCACCCAGATTTCCATGAGGCTGGCTCCTTGTCATCTGTATCTTAACTCAGAATGTCATCTACCTGGAACAGTGCTCTCTCTCTACTCTATCTGTAAAGTAGCTCTGAAGTCATTCTCTCTCGTGTTACTCA